CCCCAAAACCCCAAAACCCCAAAACCCCGTTAACCTAAATAAATATCTTCAAAATGGAAGTTTCACCAGCAGATTCACCTATGAAGGACTATCTCCTAACTCTGATGGTACTCTATAAACAACTTTTAGGCAAAGTGTGACTTGAAACAAAAAATATTTCCATATCCACCTGGATGAGTCTTGAAACTCACTTCCAAACCAGAGTATGATAATTATGCCAAATTAGCCACATATCTGAAAGATAGCCTCGGCTTGATTTGGGAGGATCAGTACTTGATAAACATTGAGCAGTTTCCTAAGATCTATTCAGAGTAAGCTAAATTCTCCCATTATGGGTCAAAAATTTACTAACAAATTGGTGATATTAGGTACATCAACCTTGAAAATGAAGAAATAAGTTCAGAAATCGGCAAATCCAGACGCCAAATTGCAATGGAAATGGATACTATTTTCCCATTCTCCTGTTGCTCGGAAATCAGCTTTAAACTTGGCCAATGGAGCTATGACAAAAATGCAGACGAGAAAAAGAAATAAAAGGAAAATGATGATCGATGAAAATACAACGAGGTATTTTTGCATCTTCACCAATAGCAAAGATTATTATTTCAGAAGATCAAAGCATAAGATTTATGAGTAATTATCCTTCTTCTTAAGCTCATAGCGAGGAAACAGGAGATATTACCTCCGAAGGAGTCAGAGAATACGAAATTGCACATTATGAGTACGATTTTACTCTTGATTGAGTCCAATATGAGTCAAATATCCCTCTTCTTGGTAAGAGTTTACCTTAAATCTAGAATCAATGTTGCCAACACAAGAAAGCAGAGAGTTAATTATAGCAAAACTTGAAGGGATCTCTGACTTCCTTGAAACTTTACCCTTCAAATTCAGGTATCTTAGCAACATAATTGTTTAGAGGACTGAATGTTAGCATTATAACTTCAATAAAGAACTATTTCTTTGAATGCAAGCTAATCGATCTGGAGTACATGTATCCAGACAGGTACTCTCGAGCCTCACTTATAGCCACGATTCGACAGTCCAGAAAGGATGCGAATCTTTGATAAAATTAGTGCAATCTCTTTCATAAAGATTTTGGGAAATTTCAACTGGAAAATTCCAATAAGGGGTTTTGGGGTTTTGGGGTTTTGGGGTTTTGGGGTTTTGGGGTTTTGGGG